TTTTATATAGCAATTTAATTATTTTTATGCATTCTGTCCACTGGAAGGGACAGCCTGAAGTTTTTCTGGGATGTCCTCAACTTTCCTGATGGGTCTTCAAGATGTTTAATTGCCAGCTTCATGGGAGATGGAGAAGCAACAGATGTTGGCTATACCACATTGAGAGATTGCCAGAGCGACAGTAAAAGGCAATCTCCTTGTGTTTACTTATCCACCTCTGGAATAGCTTATAATGAGAGTGCTGTTCCATAAAACAGTAGAGGAGTATGTATGGATATATACTAGCACCTCTGATGAGTTGATGGGTTGTAAACAGCTGGCAGCTACTGATTGATGCGGTTTGATGCTTTGACTACTTGATCCCATTAGTTAAGCTTTGCTCAAGAGAACAGTATCGGGTCATGAAAGTTCGAACAAAGAAAATTCTAGCACAAGCTGACAGGCAAGCAAGCATGACAAAACAATAACAGTATACTGTAGAGGAACAGAAAATGTACCACTGGACCTGAAAAAAGTAATTGTGAATTAAAATTAGCTTTGAAATATGATTAAGTCAGACAGTAGAAAAATTGAAGTTGGGAAAACTTTTCAGTGGACAGAACTGTGACCCTCAAAGGGAGGAAAACAAATAGAAAAGGAGGTAAAACAAAGTTAAAATCAAAATTCAATACAAAACCATGTTTCACTGATGAAAAAATAAATATTGAAAAAAAGGAAGATGTGTTACATTTTCAGTGGAGAACAGTAAGTCCCTCCAGCATGTATCTCAGACAACAGCTGCAATGGTAATACATTCTGAATTTTGCAGTGAATGGAATTAAATTTTTTTTAATTTTTATTTGTTTTCCATGTGTTTTATCAGTTTACTAAATCTTATTTCACTGTTTTTAAATATTTTAAATTTATTAACTGAAAAATTAATAACTCTCTAGTACCATATGTAAACTTCTTTCCTGCAAGTCTCTGAGCCTAAGAACGTTAAGAATGGGAAATTCTAATTCAAGGAAAGTGCTAGGGAACAAAGAAAGGGAAAGAGAGAGGAAGGATTAATCATGTAATCACTTTTCCACTTACACTTTTAAGGTAACATAATTCATGGAAAAAAGTCATTGCCTCCATCTTTACGTGTAATTCACAGCTAGTTGTATCAGTCCAGGAAGGGACTATAAACAGCTTCATCTCATGTCAGAATTGTCTAGAGCAGGGTTTTTTTGAGGCATACATACGTGTAAATTTATCAGTCTGCTTTTTGTTTCAACATCTCTTTTTACAGAAAATTAGTTTTCACTAGATCAACCTGAATGATTAATCAGTTTCAGTCTTGGACTGTTTTCACTTTTATGTGATTCTGCTAAGGCAGGGACCACTCATTCTGAAAACTGACTAAGCACCTTGTGGACCACCTCGATCATTTGCTGTCTACAGGAAACATTCACCAGCAGTCCTCAAAGCAAGGCAAAATGATGATGTGGTTCTGAGCTCAGCAAGAGTTTGGGTCAGTTAGGACACAACTACTTCACAACAATGAAAAGAATTTCTCATTGCAGGAGGACTGAATCCACGGGGAGCTGAATACCTTTGAGGGAGCTAAAATCTGACTCATAACACAGACAAGTTCCTAGCACACTGCTCCTGATGAATGGTTGTGTGCTGATTTGGGGGTTACACCTGAATCCCCTTACAAGAGCTCAAGGGAAGGTGTTAGCTGAGAGCCCTTGCACTTTACCAATGGAAAATTCAGCGCTCTGTTCTGTTCTGAAGGTGTGAGACAGTGGCTCCTTAGTCAGCTTGCTCCACCAGGATTTCCTGCAGGAACTCTGCTGCCCATGATCCCAGCTGGCATAGGGTTTCCTGAGGAAGTACTGAAGTACTTCCAGAGAGCTCTGATGCAGAACTTAGCCAGCTTTTCCCACGAACTTTGTTAATGTTTTGCAACTATTCTTCCCTGGTGATAATTTCTTATAGATGTACATCCACAAGGCTCATGAATCTTTCTTAATTTTGATAAAATATATACCTTAATGAATTCAAGAGGCCTTAAGCTTGTTCTAATACTGGACTTTTAGAAATCAATGACTAAGATTCCTAAAAGTGACATTCACTGTAGCGGTTCAGTTTTATTATGCTTGTCTGATACACCAACTGACAAGAATGTTTAAACATGGCAGTTCTTAAAACTCACTTAAAAGGAGATTCACTTGATCCAACTCTGCTAAAATGAATGTACTATTTTTCTGGGGCTCACTGTGGCCATGGATAATGATCCTTCCATCGAACACGGAGTGCCAATAACCATGCTTTTGAAAAACCGTCAGAGTGCAATTCATATTGCTGGACACAGCTGAATTCAGCCAAATACTGCCAGTTACAAAATTCTTAAAAACATCAAAAAGCAGAAGAACTGGACATCTATTTTTACACCTGCCTAGGGCTTGTACACTGTTTATGCAATTTTACTCAAGCTGACTTGCTTAACGAAAAAATTTGGAAAAACCCCAATGTTTTATTTACAGGCAGTTTTGTTGGCTATCATACTTTTTCTTTTTATCCATTAATTTTGTTCAGGAAAAACTGCCTAAAAAATGATATCCGATCTTTCAAAACTAATTTTGGTGTATTTGTGACATCTCAGTTATGGTTTTAAATGCTTCCATGAGGCATTAGCAATTCTAAGAGAAATTAAATTGTGTTTATATTATAGACATTACCATGTCTTTCGAGCCAAGGGTCTACTGTGAATTTCAAAAATTGTATCATAATGAGTAAAAACCCCACCTTGTGAAGCCAGCTTATATGTCCTATTCTGATGTTGGACTAAAATCAGATTGTCAGGAGTCCAAGAGAGAGAATGACAGAGTCATTCACACGTCTTCCTTAAGTTCCTACCTACATCTGGCAAAAAAAGTGAGACTACAAAATCCACAGATAAATTCCCTATGTTTATCCATTATTATTGCATCAAAAATATCCAGCAAAACAAGTTCTCTGTCAGTCTAACTTTGTCCAGCCTGGGTGGGCCATGCCTAATCATGAGAATTAGTTTAGCTTCAACGACCTGAAAAAGCAGTGTGGTGCTGTTGACACTCTGGGGGGAAGCAAGACACCTGACAGGCTTGAGAGAGGGGCCCTGTGAGCCTTCTGAAGTTCAGCAGGGACAAGTGCAAGGTCCCTGGGCCAGGGCAATCTCAAGCATGAATACTGGCTGGATGTAGAATGGATGGACAGCAGCCCTGAGAAGGACTTGGGGATGCTGGGGGATGAGAGGCGGGACATGACCTGGCAAGGTGCGCTCGCAGCCCAGAGAGCCAAACATATCCTGGGCTGCATCCAAAGAAGTGTGGTCAGCAGGGCCAGGGTGGTGACTACTCTCCCCCTCTACTCCATTCTGGTGAGACCTCCACCTGAGTGCTGCATCCAGCTCTGGGGTGCCCAACACAGCAAGGACACAGACCAGAGTAGGGCCATGAAACTATTTAGAGGGATGGAATATCTTTCCTATGTGGTTGGTAGAAAGGCTGAAAGAATTGGGGTTGTTCAGCCTGGAACTGAAAGACGTTAGGTTTTGATTAGATACGAGGAAGACATTTTTTGCTGTGAGGGAGATGAGATACTGGAACTGATTTTCCAGAGAAGTGGTGTATATCCCATCCCTGGAATTGTTCAGGGCCAGGTCGATGGGGCTGTGAGCAGCCTGGTCTGGTGGGAGGTGTCCCTGCTCATGCCAGGGAGGTTTGAACTGGATGAGCTTTAAGATCCCTTCCAACCCAAACTGTTCTATGACTCCATGATGTGCCAATTAATTAATTCATCCATTCATTTTATTCATTCATTCTCCTTTTTCCTAAGACACTTCAGTGTCAGTACATTTCCTGGTCTTGATAACTCCCCAGACTTGTAAGCATGAACAAGTACTCAGTGAATTCTTACAGGTGCTGACAATTAAAGAGGACACAGATCAAAGAAACCACAGCTTTTGTCTTAAAACTTCTGCTAGCAACAACTTTAATAATTTTGGTTAATCATCCGAGAGAAGGTTTCCCAGTCCTTCTGCAAGAAGATATTTCTGCTAGATTTTGACTTCTCAGGTAGCTACCACAATACTATATTCTTGGGAATTCTTTGGAAAAAGTGAATTGGGGGATTTTACTTTAAAGCTTCTCTAAATCTTCCTCTGAGAACTGAAACAAAATGGTTGTGAAAGCTTTTAAATGAACATTGAGAGCAACTTCTTTAAATACCCACACATTCTCAGACTTACCTTCTTGCACCACTCTTTTATCTTGTATAAAACTTAATGGATGACATATTTCATTCCACAAGTTGACAATGTTAAAAATGTGCTATTCCTTCTAGTTTTAGTATACTGCAAAGCCAGTGATAGCTACAGGCGCTATGAGCGATATACGACTGAAGAAAAATGAGATTACTGCTGATAAGGAACAAGAGACTTTGATATCTTAAAAGAGTCTGAAATCCAGCAAATATGATCCCCAGCAGCAGATGCCCCTCAGACAGACAATGAAAGAAAAATGGTGGAAAAGTACTCATTGTGGCTTGTTGTTTCCTACAGCCGGAATGGCAGCAAAATGAAATAGCATGCTGCCTGCATCAAGAAATCCTACCTCTCTGGGAAAAAAAACATAACCCAAAGATGACTAACAGTCCAACAAAACGAGCAGTAATTTTCCACTGTGGGAGAAGTGATGTTACTCTGACTCACCTTCTTTGGTAAAAAATAACTTTGGAAGTGTTGCTCTTTTGAAGGCTATCATGCTATCATGTTATCATCAACATTGATCATAATAATGATCAATTTAATGGAAGTGCAGTACATAAGGCAAACCTCAGGCTGGAAATACGTATTAATTATTCTTTAACAAAAGGAATGAGCCACATGCAAATGTAAAATAGCTCCTCTCTCTGTCTATTGAGGTGTTCCTGGAACATGAATGAACATAATTTCAAGATGTCAATATTTCATGCTACAGTGCAACCCTTACCTTGTATCCTGATGATTTGATGTGCACTCCTCGCTTGGTCAGTGTAGATTTCATTCGGATGAAAAAAGAGCGCTCTAGAGTGTTGTCAGTGGTTAGCAAACTGGGGTTTGTAGATTCCACTAGGGAATAGAAAAAATACATATACACATAATTTAGATTTTATACATTCCCTCTAAGCTATTTTTCAGGTGCAACCCTTGAACTCACTAAAAATAAATGACTGATGGATGCTAAGAGTGTTGTAATCAATTTACCTCATTTAGAAAATGTTTATTTAGCAAAAAAGAAATTACAAAAATATACATATACTCAGTATGTCTCATTTTCAAGTTATTTTTCCCATAGAATTTTTAACAGAGATTTGTCTCATTAACTCTTTCTTGCACAATTTTGTTATGACTAGAATTGGAGGGTATGTTGCTGGAGTGTATGACATTGTTTTAGAAACTGTTCATCAGTATTTTGTAAAAGGCAAACTTTCACTTAGCTAGCAATTCTTTGCTGAAATAAACTGCAAATTCTGCAGATTTTTATTCCCTCATCTCACTCCCTGCAGTGATACCTGAGTCACTGCTGGATTTGTGCCTTGGTTTCCACATTACTGAGGGGAAACTGGGGCCTTTACTATCAATAAACTATTAAACAACCAGGAGGCAAGAATTTTCAAGTAAATGACATATTATTATTATTGTCATCATATATCGATTAATTAGTCATTAATGAAATGTCTTTTTAGTCCAACTGAAGGGATATTACTTGCTCACAACTAATATAGCTCTCACCTGTGCTTCCTGCACTTCTCCCTCCCTTAACTACAACCACTTAAAATACTTAAGACTTAGTATAAACCATGATAAAACAGCGTCAGCACTGAGGTATTCTTTATATAGTCTTTATGATTCCTATTTTTTAGCCCTGATAATCAATTTATCCCCAAAATACTGTTAATGGGAAAATTCTGGAGCAGCTTACAATAAACAGGCATTACTGGAGATAAAAGTCAGTTTCAGTGAGGAATTAACAAGGAATAAAAAATATTTTGAAATTGTACTTCTATTGCTTAGGAGACCCATACAAACTACTAGTAGAAAGTGTTTAAGTATTTAAAATGCATTTGTTATGCAGTCAACAGAAATGCAAGAACTTGCTTGTGAGCTAAGGATTATATTGAATTGTCCTTGATTTAATGTGGTCAACTTGTCTTGTGTTTGTGACATTTCAGCTCTATTGTGGTAACTGACAACAGTGCCCCTTTCTTTAGTGTGTCTCTTAAGATTTTTTGTTTTAGAGAGCATGAATTCGATGTCATTTTAAATGTACAGCTCTTTATCACTCGAGGGAAAAGCAGAGCCATGTTATATTTAGTACTTTCATTTCTTCTGATTAAATATGAATTACTATGAAATTTTTCTCATCATCTAACACACCATAATACGCCAACAGCTTTTTAATACACTGTATAAGCACAAACTTCTGCTCTAAGAGTTTAATTTGCCCCTCTAATCCAATCACATCAACCTTATTTCTCTTATCAGAGATTCCCATTTTGAATTAAATGAGCTCATTAGTTTTAATCAAAAGCAGAGAGATCAAAACTTAAACGTAAATGCTTTAGATCAGAACTGTCAGTCAGCCGTGCAGTTCTATTTTACTAAAACACAAGATCAGAGACCCTTAGAACCAATTTTTTCTCGTAAGGGATGCCAAGAGCTTGAAGATGCTATATCCTTTTTTTTTTCTCCCAAGGACAGATTATACATTTAAGGTTAGACTTAATTTAGAGTATTTTTTTTTCATCCTGGTGGAAATGGGAAAGTATGCCATTCTGCTGTTGTCTCTTTCACACTTATTGGTGCGGGTCCTTGGAGACCTAAACAAATGTGAAGCCATCACAATCCATGCAACAAACCTGTCCTCAAAAAATTCAGCTCTGTTCAGCAATATAACATAAGAAATAAAAATCTGAAGGGAAAGGTATGTTTCAGGGTGTGGGACAGTGAAACCCTGAAACAGCAGCCAAAGTCACCCGGATAGCAGCAGTAGTGGTAAGATGAGCATCATAATTAATTATTATTTTTATTGTACAGTACAGTGCAGTAGTTAAAGAGTACATTAAAAAACCACAGCATGGGTGCTTCCTGCTGTGTGAAGAAATGCTAAAATCAGCTTAACAAGTGTAGTTGTTGTAGTCCAGCACATTATGCTATAGCACAGGCAGTATGTACAATATGTCTTCCTGTGTTCTAATGGTAATTACCTAAACATACATACAGAAGTAATGTTAATTAAACACACAATATCTTATGCTCAAAAAAAGATCAGGCTCTAATATGTATGTACCATTCCCCCAGCAAAAATGGAAATGAAAATTTCTTCTTCATACACAGTTAAATGAAAGAAAGAATAACAACAGACACGCAGTAAAGTGAACTTGGCATTGGCATTTTTTGGGCTCATTTAATGATATATCGTAAGATTAACATCATTTTGCTGTTATTATACTATCTACAAACCTATACATCTCTGTAAGTGAATGTTATAAAATGCACATATTTTATCCAACAGACTGGAACAATGTCATATAAATATGTATTCTGGAGTGTCTGATTTTCTTTAACAAAAAGTATCCGAGAGTGTACGTGGGAGATGGGATTAGTTACCTAAAAGTCCAGAACAGCTTATGAACAGCATTTTGAATTTCTCTCAAGAGAGAACCATTAGGGCTGACAGTGCAAATCTGCATTCAGAGTTGCACCCACCTACGGTAGATACTGTAACAATGCTGATGGTGATTATGCATGCAGGATTTTAAAAATAGGATGTGTACAGAACAGATACGCCGATGTCAGTGAGATTTGCACAGGAATATATGGAATGTGGTCCATTATGAGTTCTCAGGAGTTGGTTTTAAATGACTATTAATGACCCTTTTCAATTTTTTTTAATTATATCAAAGCAGACTTGCAATCTGAGGAAAATAGGAATGAAACTTTAGCAATTAATTCTTGATTAAAATATATATATATATATATATATATATATAATCTCAAACCTTAAAAAAAGCCTGATATAAACAAGGTCCACTTGGCTTGATACTGTAGAAACAAAAATGTGTATTTTTACACTGAAAAATAAGGCTTCTGGCTTGAATTTAGTGAGTTTAAACCTACTGTTGAGTTATAAACTTCTGAAACTGTGAATTCAGAATGCTAATTATGTGATAAAAGTCAGTGCTTACTGCATGTGAATTAAAGTATTTTACACTGTCAGAAGTATAAAAAATAAGTCTGGGTTGTCTTTGCAAAGCAGGTAATTGTGTACTCTGTTGGGAAAGCACTTGCCTTTGTGTGCCCTTAAACATCTTCAGCAGATACTACTAAAGGAATAAACTTCTTCTCTTTCCACTCCCAAAGCTGATAATGCAGGATGAGATTTCTAGACACCAGGAATGCATTTTCCATTTCAAAGCGAATGAAGCTGCAATCCACTGTACACATACGGAAGTGTCACAAATGTTAAAAAGCTTAAGAGCCACAGAGGTAAATGGGAAGGTATTACGAAACAGCAGCCAATTCACAAAACTATTTTGTTATCTTAATTTACTGAGATTAGCTCTGTTGGTCAGAGTATGGTGCCAGCAATGCCAAGGTTGTGGGTTTGACCCCTCTATGGCCATTCACTAAGGCTTTGCACTTGTGGGTCCCTTCCAATTCAGAATATTCTGTGATTCTGTGAACTTCTGTGATTCTAAGCATTTCTTTGTGAGCAAACCCTGTATCTCTGATCTTTCAATGGGCTTTGCTTTGGGGATAATCTTGGGCCCAGACCCCACAAACCAGTCATGCATCGTTTAACTTCACATGCTGGAAGAGCTCTGATTCTTCTGATGGTCCATAAACATATCCATAGCTGCCTGGAGGTCCATGGCTCTAATCCTGCAGGAATCTGCAGTGGTACTCTACACCTGTGTGCAGTCTGACTACTTTAATGCTATAGAGCAAAACAATGCAAACCAATGCAAATAATTGTTCTTACACAGCAATAGCACAAGTACTGTCCCTATGAGTGATTCACAAGCACATTCAAATTCATATAAACAATTTGTCCCCTAGGAAAAAAAGAAGTTCCACATTTGATTTATGTCTTAAATAACAAAAAGCTGCCACAGTAGGCTGAATAATGTTCACCAACTTCTGGGGTTTTTTTCTTGACATGCATTAAAAATAATTGAGAGGAGAAAAATGGAATTTTGCATGCCAAACAGAGAAAATATAGGCTTCTCCTTCTTAGGAAGACAGGAAGTTGTAGAAGGAAAACCAAACACCAACAAGGAATTTGACATTGGTGGAAAAAAGTACCATATGGTTTAACATAAAGGATTTTCTGGATTTTGTTCCATTTTAAGAAGCTTTCACCTGGCTTTCATTTTACTTCCTTGAAAACATGTGTCCATACATTTTTGAAAAGGCATTCTCAAACACCAACTATACAGCCAGCTTGTAAAAGAGAAACAAAGAAAGAGAACATACAAAACAGTAAGAAAAAGGGAGCTCTTTTCCTGTTATCTTCTACACTTCCAAACCTCTTCTCACATTTTCTTGAAGTCTTATAAACCTTTGCATAGGGAACTGAGAATCATTATTTTCAGATGAATAATTAGGTAATATAAATCTATCATTTTCAATTGGAATAGATGCAGTTGTTAAATGTTTCTGTTTCTTCTGTGCAGTTTATTGTCTGTAACCAGGCATTAAAAGAATAAGAAAATTTAACCTTGAGTACCCAACTGCCTTTAATCAGAAAAGTGACTCTCAAAAAATCACTTTTTCCAAGATCATTCTCTCTCAGAATCTTAGAGATCAAATTTGATCATTTTGTAAATGAAAATATTTTCACAGCTACTAACCCAATAAATAAAATTCCAAAGCTACAAGTTAAGACAATTTATTTCCAGTAAGTGCAAGTTACTATACTTAGCAATCGTGCAAATGAATGGTTTTAAGTGAAGTGGGTTCAGGCTGAACATGGGCAAGTACTAGAAGCTAAAATTTGTTTTAGGAAACTGCTGAAGATTCCTGGATTACTTGGATGAACCACTTTGACTATTTATGGACACTGA